GCTATGCAAACATCTCTTCTAGACCCTGCTTTCAAAGGTATGGGATCCGGTGGAATCACTAGATCATGTGGTAGTTCCATTTTTAATTTGGGGGGGAAACTTCAAACTGTTTTCTGTTGTGGTTGCACCATTTAGCAATCTCACCAGCAGTGCCCAAGGGTTCTGGCGTCCCTACACTCTTGCTAATGCTTGTTATTTTCTGTGTTTTCAATAGTAGCCGTCCCAATGGGTGGGAGGTGTTATTTCATTGTGGTTTGGATTTACGTTTTATTTAGTCACTCTTAAACAATAAAGTCTTTTGGTCTATTTCAACTCCAAAGGACAATCTCATTTTAACAAATATGGTAGGCAGAATAACACCCCTAATACAAGAGATGCCCTAATCCCTGGAACCTATGGGTATGTTTTGCTACAAGGGGGAATTAAGGTTTCTGGTCAGCTTCCCTGACACCCTCAGGTGGAAGCTTGGAGGACATAGAAGGGGCAGGAGAGACCATCCTTACCAAAGGCAGATATAAAATGATGTTTGCATCTTCTGAGTGGGACAATTTCCCAGTGATAATTCCATCTTTTCAATAGTGTTTGGTGGAAACCTCACCAAAGTTACTTCCTTGAGGCCCTGGGGCAATTCTTGTCTCTGGCCAAGTGCTCCTCATCAGATCTTCATCCTCTGTAGCCAGTGATACCTTCCAGCCTCTTTTTGTTGATGGCCTTTGTCCTTTGGCAAGAAGCCTTCAAAGATAGATAGGTCTCTTCCAACAACCCCAAGGCCAGATCCTTCCACAAGTCCTTTTATCTCATAAGAACACTCTGGAATCCTATAGGGGTGCCTGGGTGGCTTAATTAGTTAAGCATCCAATTCCTGGCTTCCACTCAGGTCATGATCTCAGGGTTTATGGGTTCAAGCCCCACATTGGGCTCTGCATGATTGATGAGGAGCCTGCTTTGGCTTCTCTCTCACCCCCTCTCTCTATGCCCCTCCCTGCTTGCTCTCTCTGTCAAAAAGAAAAAAGAAAAGAAAAAAGAAAAAAGGGGAAAAAAAGATGCTGGCATCCTTTTCCCTTCCCCATCTGGAGTAAATGTGCAGTTTTCTCTCCATTGCATATGTATCTTTGCTTGGCCATCAAGAAGGAAGTTCTAGCCATAGCCTTTGACTTTCTCAGAGGAAAAAATGCTTAAAAATTCATTTATGTACCTTCTTATATAGTCTTAAACTTCTTCTAAACAATGGCCTGGATTCATTCAACATTTTTCTTATGATGAGTATTATGAGCCCCTTTTCTGTTCTTGCTTTTAGAGACTTTGCCCAAGTTCATTCTTAGTTAGTCAGTATATGCTTACATAGCATATCTATGTATAATCCAGCATTAGTTTCATGCAGTAATAATATGCTTGCAGTTATGATAAACACAATGTTCATAAGACCTTAGGAATCTTGAGCTAATTCGTATTTTATCCTTAAGTAATTTATCTTCATAGAACTATTTGCAAAGTGTGTGTTCTCTGAAACTTTCCCCGAAACTGGTACCCTTTCTGACTTTAAATTCAATATCATTGCACCATTTCCATAGAGGAAAGGAACACCTTACAAGAACTCCCCACTACTTAAAAGTGACTTTAGCTACTACTTCCTCTCTCCCCTTCCCTTCCACATCTTGCCCAAGTTTAAGGTTCTATAATGGGGGCAAAGGGTTTTCATATCATGAAAAAGATTATTTCTGATGTCATTTGACATTAACTATCATTCTAAAAACCAATTTAGACACCTTTCCAATCCAAGACCAGGATATCAAGACCAAAATGACCTTACAAATTCTTACAAATTAGCTCTTTGTAGATCATCTCTTAAGGAAAGTACAAGAAGCTAATAACAGTTATTGACTCTTAGAAGAAAACTGGGGGGGCGCCTGGGTGGCTTAGTTGGTTAAGCGTCCGACTTTCGCTTAGGTCATGATCTTGCGGTTCGTGGGTTCGGGCCCCGCGTCGGGCTCTGTGCTGACTGCCAGCTCAGAGCCTGGAGCCTGTTTCAGTCTGTGACTCCCTCTCTCTCTGGCCCTCCCCTGCTCACGCTGTCTCTCTCTCTCTCCTAGAAATAAATAAAACGTTAAAAATTTTTTAAAAAAAAGAAAAGAAGAAAACTGGGGACCTGGGGAAAAAAAAAAGGGGGAGGAAAAGAACTTACTTTTCACTAAGTTTCATTTCTAACCTTTTGAATTTTGTATATTCCCAATTCAAAAATTTTTTTAATTTTAATTTTTTGAAAATTATAATTTTCATTTGAAAGTACAAAACTTACTATCCTAACAGTGTTATAAGTAAAAGTCACCTTTTTATATAAGAAAATAGATTTAGAAGTTTTAAGATTAATATGATTTCATTTATATTAAGATTAATAAATTTCCACAAGATTAATAGATTTCATTATGTGGAATCTAAAAAACAAAACAAATAAACAAGCAAACAAACAAAACAAACAGACTCTTAAATACAGAGAACAAACTGGTGGTTGCCAGAAGGAGGTGGGTCAGGGAGTGGGTGAAATAGGTGAAGGGGATTAAAAGGTACAAACTTCCAGTTATAAAATAAATAAGACACAGAGATGAAAAGGACAGCATAGGGAGCACAGTCAATAATATTGTAATATTTTTTTATGGTGATAGATGGTAACTGAACTCATCATGGTGAGCACTGAGTAATGCATAGAATTGTCAGATGAATATATTGTACACCTAAAAACAATATAACATTGTAAGTTAATTATACTTCAATTTAAAAAAATACTCCCCCAAAAGAGAGAAAAAAAGAAAAGTCTTTTATTTATTTATTTATTTCTAGGAGAGAGAGAGAGAGACAGCATGAACAGGGAAGGGTCAGAGAGAGAGGGAGACACAGACTCTGAAACAGGCTCCAGGCTCTGAGCTGGCAGTCAGCACAGAGCCCGACGCAGGGCCCGAACCCACGAACCGCGAGATCATGACCTAAGGGAAAGTCGGACGCTCAACCGACTAAGCCACCCAGGCGCCCCGAAAAAAAGAAAAGTTTTAAGGATCATTTGAATTGTGTGTATTAGATCTAGGACTTTGAGTTAATTTTGGTAGCTTTTTTGAGTTTTTATTCCACTCTCAGGTCTCAAATTGTTTAATTTTTCAACAGAAACAAAGAGACAGCTTGGGTTTCTTGGGGAGGGAGTTTGTAAAAAGGGCATGTTTGACAGACCAAATGAGTCCATTACATCATTTGTGAAGTGTTTGGCATCTACCAGGCACTGTGTCGGGTGCCAGGACACGAAGGTACTCAGCTATGGCAATCTCTCCTGCCTTGAAGAGAGATTTGCATATTGCAGAAGAGAAGCTCATGCTTTGAAATCTTAGAGTTGAGGATGGAAGAAGAGAGAAGGCAGACTGAACACCCAGAGAAGAGGCAAGGAGTTGGAGCCAAAAAGGAGTCTAGACATGATACAGAAGCGACTAGAATCTGGAAACAAGTTGGGGTGACGGGAATCTAAGGATGGGAGAGTGTAGTCAAAGCAATGGATGAAAAAGATGCTCTTTCTGTAAGGCAGTTGTCCACGCCCAAGGCAAAGTGGAGAACTGAGACCAAATTTCCCAAGCAATTGGTCCACCTCTCAACAGCGATAAAATGATCACTTTCAGCCAAGTCAAATAAATGGCAAATCTGAAAGGGAAGGTCCTGATCTAAGCTGCTGCAAGTTCTTTCTAAGCCTCAGCTTTTTCATTGGTAAATCAGGAATAATATACCTACATTATATACCTGCTATGAGAATTTGACATAATGTATATAAAATGCTTGCATTGTGTCAGGAGCATAATAGTTGCTCAACAGTGAGTAACTATTTTGCTTCTGTTGTTGTTATCACCTGTAAATAAAACTAAAGGTCATAATGGTGGGTCCCGTGGCTGGACTCTTTCGATTCTCATTACACCCCCTTTTTGGGATAACTTCCTGTACTATACCTTCCTGTTCCCGTGAAACTAGGAACTACATTTCCCAGACTCCTTTACTCTTAGAGTCTGGATGCCAGGCAGATTCCACCTCAAGAGGCAATCACTTGAGATTTGGAAGCTGGAAAGAGATGGAGGCCATCTGCCAGTTGCTTTTTCTTTTGGAAATTCACTATATTAAGAGAGGCCTGAGGCAGGGGGGCAGTGGTGGAAGCAGCTGCTTGGCCACCAGATCCCAGCTGCAGTGGCTTGCTCTTGACACCAACAAGTGATGTCTCCTGATATCCCTTCCTCTACCCCTGCCAGAGACTTTGTAAGCATCTAATTCCTGTATTAAATCCCATCTGTTTAAAATACCTATAGTAACGATTCCTGTTTCCACAACTGAATCCTGACTTACTGAAATAATATTTACTCTTAATATCCATTCTTCTTTCCTGTCTTAGTTTCAAGGACCACAATTTTTAGCCAGGGACCCTACTACCCAGCCAAAATTTATTCCCACTCGCCCTTAAAGCCAGGCATAGGCGTATGACTAAATTTTTGCCAGTTAGATATAAGAAGTATTTTGTGTAACTTCTAAAAAGTGTCTTTAGAAAGAGGGTATAAGGAGCACCTGGGCAGCTCAGTCGGTTGAACATCCAATTTTGGTTCAGGTCATAATCTCATGGTTTGTGGGTTCGAGCCCCACACCAGGCTCTGTGCTGACAGCTCGGAGCCTGGAGCCTGTTTCAGACTGTGTCTCCATCTCTCTCTACCCCTCCCCTGCTCACACTCTGTCTCTCTGTCTCTCAAAAATAAACATTAAAATTTTTTTTAAAAAGGAAGGTATAGGCCTTCCTTTGCCCCTTACTCCTTCCTGTTGGCTGGAGTATGAAAGTGATGACAGGAGCACTAACAGCCATTTTGGGTCATTGAGGTAGTATAATAACCATGCCAGGGTAGAAGAGAATAAACCTGTTGCCTGCAGAGCTGCGATACAAGACTGGATTGTTTACCTCCAGATTTCTTTTACATCAGGAAAAAACCCCACAATCTCAAACTTAAAAAAAAATCAGTTACATTTTTTCTGCTTTGTTACTACATGTAGCCAAGCCTGTGCCTAATTAACATAAGAGGAACAACCAAACTTCTTCTCTCCATATCAACCGTGGACTATTTCTCAGTTTTTAAAAGCAAGTGCATTCTCAAAAGCTGCCTAACTACCGAAACACAGTAGGGCATGCTGCCAAAAATGTTGATCTGGGTTTAGGATTAAAGATATAAAACGATTTCAGTGAGGCCAATTCAGTGTACACAGCAACAAAGTTTGCAAGCCAGATGAATAACTCTGACTTACTCATATTGCTTTCAGAATCAAAGGCACCAATTCTAGATTGAGTGAAAGGCAAGTCCTCAAGCCTAGCTGAAGGTCCACTAGGGCTAGTGTTATTGATTCAAAATGGCTGAGTTGCAGGTTAAACTGACTCTCTGTTGTTCATCATGTGACCACACCACAGCTGGCAGCACATCCAGTGGTATAATCTGCTTTGCAGCTCTCTATTCCAGAGCCCATAGATTAGAGGGTTAAGACACTGTGCAAATGCAAAGACTCCAAAAAGTGCCAGATTTAAAGCAAAGAAAAACACCCCACACATCTTTCCCAAACCTATGAATATCAGGGTTGGTATTACATGTAAACTCATCTGCACTAAATGAATAAGAACTGTTTTCTTTGCTTTGATATTTGATCTATTAAAATGGCCAGCCCGTTTCCCTTCTCGGTAGATCAGAGAGTAACTTATAAGAATGATGGACAGAAGAGAGAAAAGGAAAACCATGCCAACGACTCTGGCAGGAGGGCCATTCAAGATCACAGGGCAAAGGGGTTCAGATTTAAAAACAGCAACTCGAGAGGGGTTAGTGCCTTCTATGAGGAATAAGCAAATATTCTTGAATATAACGACTATCCAGGACCCAGCCAGGATCCTGTACTTAACTGAATCTACAAAGGACAGAGATTTCAGAGGCCAGCAAATAGCCAGGTAAGTGTTAGCCGCCATCAAGGCCAAAGTGAAGAGGATCCCTTCTCCAACACTTAGCTGGACCCCAAATACCACCCAGCACACCAGCACAGGGCTGTTGGCCAGCAGAGCCCGCATCCCTTGGAAAACCACCCCGAGGCCACAGTAGGAGGAGATGCACAGCAGATGGTGGCACAGGAGGATGTATCGGACCTCTTTCCTCAGCTTCAAATTCTGTAACACTATCGTGATGATGGCGACGGTGACAAATGTGGCAAAGAAGAAGGCCACCACATACACAGAGGCCTTCACTGTTGCTTCTAGCCTCAGCCAATCCGATATGTTGCAGTGCTCAGAAGACAAGTTCATGATCTTCAGGACAACTTGGCTCCTGAGGGATTAAAGAACCAGAAAGAGTGAATCGTAAAGCTTCTTGCGTGGCTTTCCAGCTCTGTGATCTTGTAAATCTCAAGGAACATATTGCACACTGTTTGGTATACAGGATGACAATTTTAGATGCATTGACATGGACCAGAGGAACTAGAGAAATCATTTGGGGTCTTCTCTTTATTTCAGGAGAAGGGCACATACTGAAACCATCCAAAAGGAAGGTTTGCAAGGTGTACTCCCAGTACTCAGCAAATTGCTCAAAATCGGGTCAAGGTTCTACTCTTTGTGCATCCTTTTTCATCATTGATTGTGAGAACTTTTTCAACTTGGAGCCACAAAGCACAACAGTGTAAAACTCAGTTGATTAACCACGAAGCACTTGTTAACAGTGCAAGCAAAGGTCTGGGAAATGCATTAGGGCAAAAACTGTAAGGATGTGGGGAAGCTAATGATGCAGAGGCCTGAATTCATTTGGGTCCATAAGACATGACAAAGATATTAACAAAAATGTTGGCAGTCATCAATGACATTTACCCAGTACCTTCTAGGGATCAAAACTGTTTTTTGTTTTTTGTGGGGTTTTTGTTTTTTTTTTAAGAAGAGTGTCTTTTTTTTTTTTAATGTTTTTTATTTATTTCTAGGAGAGAGAGAGAGAGTGTGTGTGAGCAGGGGAGGGTCAGAGAGAGAGGGAGACACAGACTCTGAAACAGGCTCCAGGCTCTGAGCTGGCAGTCAGCACAGAGCCCGACGTGGGGCTTGAACCCACGAACCGCGAGGTCATGACCTAAGCGAAAGTCGGACGCTTAACCAACTAAGCCACCCAGGCGCCCCTCAAAACTGTCTTTAGAGCAGATTCCTCTAACCCTGGGATAAGTTTTATTTTCTACCGAGTGGTCTTATTATGCACTTTTTACAAATGGGGAAACAGACTTAAGGAGACCCTGATTAGGGCCCTATACTCATTGGGTAGAGGGGCCAGGATTTGAATTTCAGAGTAGAACTCCAGAACCCACTCTCTCAACCACTACAAGGAAGTTCATGTCAAATGCAAGATTACATTAAAAAGGGGGGTGGGGTGGGAGGAGAAGGGCACCTGGGTGGCTCAGTCGGTTAAGCATCTGACTCATAATTTCAGCTCAGGTCCTGATCTCATGGTGAGATTGATCCCCACATCAGGCTCTGCACTGACAACACAGAGCCTGCTTTTGATTCTCTCCTGCCCTCTCTCTCTGTCCCTCCCCTGGTTGCCTGCATTCTCTCTCTCTCTCTCTCTCAAAATAAATAAATAAACTTTAAAAAAGTCCAATGTCAAATGCATGTCTGAGTTCTTCTTTGGCCAACGTCATTGACCATTGATTTCAGGACCACTGTCTCTGAAAGTCTCCTGCAGAGATGCCAACTATTGCCTCCCCACTATTAGCTTTCCTCACTTCCCCACCACCTCAAAGTTGATTGGAACTAGAGATGGATATCTGACTCATGGAGAATTATTCTGTAGATGGTGCTGAATCCTCCAGTGTCTGCCTCTTAAAAATCCAACTGAAGAATTCTCACAGAGAATGTGGCCCAAGTATGATGTCATGTCATTGGCCTACCAGTAATGTTGGAATGTGGGTGAATGGGAAAAAGTGACAGAGAGAGGCAGGAGAAAAGCAGAGGGAACCACAGTTCCCTGAGAGTCTATGAAAGCCTTTGCAAGACAAAGAGAATGGCATGGGCTCCTGAATTTCTTTCTTTCTTTTTTTTTTAATGCTTACTTATTTATTTTTGAGAGACAGAGTTGAGGAGGGGCAGAGAGAGGGAGACAGAGGATCCAAAGCAGGCTCCAGGCTCTGAGCTGACTACGGAGAGCCTGATGTGGGGCTTGAACTTCAAGCAGTGAGATTATGACCTGAGCCAAATTTGGATGTTTAACCCACTGGCCCACGCAGGGGCCCCTGGGCTCCTGAATTTCTGATTCCACTGAGGTCACTCTGCATTTTCTGTCTTTGGGTCCTAAACATATATCACATGGCTCTATTATTTGAGCTAGCTTAAATGGGTTTCCATTCCCTTGTATAAGCCCCTAGCATTGTAAGTATATAAAGTAGACTCTATGGAGGCACAGTATATTATACTGATTTCCTAAAAGGCAGTTACCTGGAGAAAAATACTGCAAGTTGCTGAGTATCTAAGATGCTGCAGCTCCCTATGCAATCCTTGCTGAAGGCATCCGTCTTCCCTTGCATATTGTGTTGTCACCCTTTGTGGAGAATTTTCCCTGTTAGGATGGATTTCTGTGCCATTGTCGTGTGGTCAAACTCCAAGTATTTATTTCTCTATTCTTCAGCTCTCCAGAGAGTGATAGAAATTGTAATGTTCTGGGCTCAGTCAGTTGAATGTCTGACTTCGGCTCAGGTCATGATCTCCCAAATTGTGAGTTTGAGCCTTACATTGGGATCTGGGCTGACAGCTCAGAGCCTGGAGCCTGCTCCAGATTCTGTATCTTTCTCTCTCTCTCTCTCAAAAATAAGTAAACAATAAAAAGATTTTTTTTGAATTAAAAGAAATTGTAATGGTCATTGTCGTTGTCAAACTCATCACCAAGCTTTCTTTAAGCTGCGGATTTTTCAGTCAAAATCTTACACCAGAACCCTTCAATAATCAACAGAAAAATGCATATCTGCCCACATTAAATGCTTCCTCAACACTAACTCCCAGAGTACATTCCTGTAACTGTCCTCAGGCCACCGCCACGGACACCTAGGGCCCCAGTGAAGATGGGGCTAAGTGAGGACACTCTACCCTGCCAGGGGGAATCACAAGAATTGGGCTTTAAACCTGGGTCTACTGCCAATGAGGAATGGGATCTTGGATACTAAAGTCACTTCACTTCTCAGGTCCTTCGTTCCTAACATCACAGCCATGTAGGATTGAAAACTCTACATCTTTTCTCTCTGTCTACAAAGTCATCCTCACTCACATCCTCAGGAACCAGCTCTTATCTGGACCTTTTCCTTATTTTTGACACAAGATTGGCCTTGCCCTTGATCCAGAATGTTCTCATCTTATGCCCCATGGCTGGGCCTTGAGTAGAATCACCAGCTCACTAGGACAGGGCCTGCCTTGTCCAGCTAGGCCTCCTCCCAGGACCTAAAACCCAGCCTCCAAGTCCCAGAATTAGGGGGGTCACTGCTGGTAGGCTCCTCAATGGTCCACCTGTACCTCCAAACAATGCCCACTCCTGGGCTCACTGCTGCTGGGTTGACCCAGCTAATGGGCTATGTCCCCCCCCCCCCCCGTTATTCAATCTAGCTCCCATCCTTCATTCTGCCCAGAATCCTAGCCTTGTCTATAGCTTCCCTGTTGGATTCCTCATTTCTGCTCATCAGGACTACCTTGCACCTGCACTGCCTCCCCCACCAGCCCTTGCACACCTGTCTAGTTCATCTGATAGCACCTCCTTAGGAGCAATGAGCAGGGCTTGGCCTAGCTGTGTTCTGGACTTGAAACCCTACACAGAGCCTGAGTGACTCTCATTGTGCTTCCTCTGGAAAAAAATTTTATAGCCTCCTTTTCTCCCTCTGAATTACTATAGCTGCAGCTATAATAAATGCCTCTCCCTCCAGATCTGATATGGTTTCAGGGAACTATTTATTGTTGAGACCACCCAAGAACTAGTTTCTGTAGTTTTCTAATTATGTTTAACACACTGATCAACATGGCTCATTGTCACATCATTAGACTCAACAATCTTTACTGTGCACTGAAACATACAATGAATATCCAATACAATGAATAAATAGTGAGGTTACAAGTGGTAAAACACAGGCGCTGACATACAGATGCCTCTTGCCCAGTGGAAGAGGCAGAATGCAATATAACTAGGTAATAATAACCAGAAATACCATGTGTAGTTTCACACATTTGCCAAATGAGTAAGAAGGTTGGGTGTCTCTTGGGAAGGCGAGGTGATTGTTCAGAAAAGGGGTCACAGAGGCAGTGAGAGAAAGCTACTTGGAGGAGCTGAGACTTGAATCCAGCTTTTCAAGGTTGGAAACTAGAGTCAAGGGTGAGGTAGATAGAGATGAGGAGAAGTGCAGATTGTAGGCAACAGAAAACAGCAAAAGCCAAGGTGGGACAATACTTGGTAGGTTCAGGGGCAATGAGCAGATCAAATTCAGTAGAATGGGGGCTTATTCAGAGGACTAAGGACAGAAAAGGTCCGGGGCCAGTTTTCAAGGGCTTTGATACCATTCCAAAGGTGAAAATTCACTTTGTAGGCAATAAGGAGCCTTGCATGATCAAAATGAGGAGTAGCATGTGCCACAGGTTAAGAGGCAACATGAGATGCCCATCTTTGCTTGCACAGTGGTGTCTGACAGAAGGTTGCAGAGGAGGAGCCTGGCCAAGGAGAAATATGTACGCAGTGAAGACGTTGCTATTATAGCAGGTGGCTTAAGATTCTTTTTGTAGAAAGAAGGGTTGCAAATCCACAAAATCAGTGAGGGCAAGTTTTATTGCCTTTAATTTATTTATGAGAGCTCAAAAAGATGAGTAATTTATTCAGGATCATGCAGCCAGACAGAACCTCCCATTCTCCAAATTCATATTCCTTTGCAGAGGGATATTTGCATATCAAGAGCTCATGGCAACAAAACCCATATAATAAATCCTCATCTATACCCGTGACCTCCACTTACGGATAATTCCTAGAGCCTTTTTCTTCTGAAATCGTAAAATGGAAATACCTGTTTTCTTCTGGCCCCAAATGTTCCTTTGGCTTCAGCTCTGAAAGACAACCCTGGAGGCTAACAAATTTCAGCAAAGAATTACATTCTGTCCACAACTTCCCTGACAAAAACCAGCCACCACCGCTCCCTGCAAAAATCTTGTAGGAAGCAGACATGTGGGAAGGGCTGGATGGGCACCTGAGAAAGTCAGGGAAGCAGCTGGTCTCATCCTAAGAGCACTGCTTGGGACAAACCCCTGGAGGGCAACACGCTGCCCTCGGTGAGAGAC